TCAGTTCGCCTCACGTAGTCAATATACTCGCGTATATTGTCAACTAAAATAGTAGAACTATTTTAGCTTTCTAAAGTACGGCGCATGGCGCATTTTTTTACCAGCATAGTACGGCGCACCGTGCAGGTCGTTAAAATGACAAAATAAATTCCCGCGCACCTGGCACATCTTCCTGACCAGGGCTGACGCATAGTGAAGTGTTTTGAGAGTCACGTGAAGGCAACAGAACTTACGTAATGCATACAGTTTTTTTTATAGTTTTTCATTTTTCGATGCATCCTTAATGTGTCGGAATATACCGCATTTACCCTACCTACTGAAATTCTTGATATTAGAGCCGGGATATTTCTAAAAAAAGTAGGACTTTTCTCAGTCCTGCTTTCCAATATGCTTTCTGTACTTGATCATTTAGGTAGCTACTATTCCTCTAGAATTCCACACTGCGGCCTGTCTTATCTCCCTTTAAAAATATGAGAAAAATGCCAAATATCTGCTGCTAATTTAGAAAATTTACCTATAAATTGCTCTGGCATAATTGAGCCATAAAATTGTAAATTTACTTGGCTATATTTAGGAATTTTAAACAGCAATATTTCAGAATTAAGATAAATCCATAAAGACTTTTGAATAAGGACTTTTCAAGGATTACAGTACTTAGGTATAGCTTCAAGGATTAGGTCTTTAAGAATGATTAGGATTCAGTACATCATACATGCATGATAACATGGCAATATTACCCTTGCAAATGGTCAAATTTCTGTAGTAGGGTTTACTAGGGAGTAGGGACAGGGTAGGCCAATGATATCTAAAAAGTGAAAACCAGTGTGCCAGTGTCTGCAATGCCTCTGCATTCAGATTCAATTACCTAACATATAATAAACAGAGAAAATAAATTAGGCACAGGACCTGACTTTTTCCATCTAATAGAACCTATGACTGAAGGTGTAAGGATTGTTTCTATAGCCTAATTCTAATGAGTAGCACTAAACCTTTGTAAAAGTTTGTAACATTTTTAAAATGCAAGTAACGAATTTGTAGGAGCCGGTATGATTATTTGATTAAAATATTTTAAGAAAAATTCAAATTTTACAGGAGATCAAGATGTAAAAAAGACAAGACTCACCTTTACTTTGATGAGCATGGTGCAAGGTGTATTTAGAACTAAGGCTTGCAATAAAAATATTCAATTTGGAGTACAACCTTTCGACTTTCGTGACGCTAGAACTTAGAAGTAGAGCTGCTAGACTGCGAGTGCCGGACTCCGGAGACGGAGTGCGCGTGCAGGAGGCTCGAGCAACAGCGGAATCGTACGTTTATTTTGTTCCCCACTTCTATGTGTTTGACCATTCCAGTAAAAACAGTTCAAACTCTGATATTTATATTCGTTGGAAATTGTTGGAACTAAATGCAGATTATTCCGAAGAAATACATTTCAGCAGTCTATTTAGATTGAATCGGCAGTCTATTTAGATCCATTTCTGGCGCTGATAATCCGTAAATCTAATATTTGGGTGAGCGACTGTACGTCCAAATGGTTTTGATTACAAATATGACAAACCAGTAAACTGGGACCTAATCTTTTTATTAGAATTCCAGTCTTATCTCGACATTTTGTTGAGACTAAAATAAAACGCAAATTCAAGAATCAAGATTAATGGCTGGATAACTGATAGGTGCTATAAAAACAATAATTTTTAACTTGCAGGTTTGTGATCACACTCCCTTTAGAAAAGTTATGCATATCGCTACAAAAGTCGCGGATACCGTCCCGATATTTAGCAAAGATAGTATAATATTCGCTAGTGGTGAACATGCATTCATTGTAAGCAACATAACATATCCTAATGCACTATCATAATTTCTAGCTTTATATTGGGTCAAATAACATGCTAATATGGCTGGTGTTGACGGTGGGGAGGTGGCTGGTGTTGACGGCGGGGAGGTGGCTGGTGTTGACGGCGGGGAGGTGGCTGGTGTTGACGGTGGGGAGGTGGCTGGTGTTGACGGCGGGGAGGTGGCTGGTGTTGACGGTGGGGAGGTGGCTGGTGTTGACGGCGGGGAGGTGGCTGGTGTTGACGGCGGGGANGGTGACAGCACCTGTTAAGGGTGATAGCACCTGTTTAGGGTGACAGCACCTGTTTAGGGTGACAGCACCTGTTTAGGGTGACAGCACCTGTTTAGGGTGACAGCACCAGCTTAGGGTGACAGCACCAGCTTAGGGTGACAGCAGCTTAGGGTGACATCACCTAAGTTAACGTATGATCAGTTTAACTGCAATCAGAAAAATAATTTAATTGTAAATAGGATCAGATTTTGATTTAATTTTTTCTATTGAAAGTTTAGGTTAGAACAAATTTTTTTTTGTGAAGTAGATGACGTGAAAGTTTGGACATGTCTGCTGCGTAAGCTTAACTGGATAAACATGAACTACACGATGTTTTGTGTTGTAATCTGTATGATATTATGTAAGTTGTTATATTTATATTGATTAATGTTTCTAGCGTCACTATACCATAGCCATTGCCACGTCTATATACAGGGTGCGTACTGGTATTTAGAGAAAAAATTCTATTACTTTTCCATGACTCTTTATGACCATCAATATAATTTTCCAAGATTCGTATACGACAGGTTTAGCATGACTGAAAGACTAACCAAGCATATTCTATCATCTCCTACAGTTGATAAATAGCAAACATGTAAATGCATAGAGCAAGCAGACACAGAGGAACATAAATGAAACATATCTGAAAATCAAGCCCACACTGGTATTGTTATGAATTCAATAGTGTCAAATCACAACAGATATTGAGTAATGCACACAAGATTGTGCATGATAGTGTCAATACAGTTCAGATTTCAGAACACTTTTCAACAACACTACCCTAACATTCAATTGGCAGTTATTTCGCCAACTTTTTCTTTAATGTTCAGTTCAAGAGTGTCTAGCTTTGTTTTCAAAGATCGCCTCATGGCGTTGAACTTGGCGATAATTTTCACATCGCCCTTTCTCTCCATTGCTTCTGCATATTCATCTGCTGCTTGCTTAAGCACATTTTCTTCTTCTTCTTCAGTTTATGTAGCTCATCCAACAAAGCCTTCCTCTTCTGGGTTTTCTGGGCCTTCGCATTCTGCTCTTTCTCTTCTGCCAAATAATTATTGTAGGATGTTTTGGCACTGCCAGCTGCAAACAGCATCTTCTTGGTGATGGTCATCTTGTCCAGGCCACCAACATGTGCAACATGATCAACCACAGCACGCAGGGCAACCACTGTTTGCTCTTTCATGTTGTGCGCCATGATTTCCTTGTAGAACGAAAACCCTCTTTCAACCGTGGTTTGGCCATGAGACAGGAGCATGAACATCTGCAAGACATTCCAGAGCTTCTATAGGTGCTCTTTGACAGAATTGCATGCCAAAAAGTGTCCAGTTGATCAGAAGTTGAAAATGCTTGAAACTGTGCGTGAGAAGGCGGCGCATCAGCGTGACCGTGGACTGCGACGTCCTAAACTCATCATAAGGTCATAAGGTAAGGTGTGCGTTCAGTTCACTGCAATGTTGTGATTCATCTCTTAAGTTGCACATCTCATCCACAACACCATCCACATCTGTGTTAGGGAATCTCTTGGCATCAACAAGCAAAGTGAGACGGTTCTTCAACTGTGTCTTGTCAGCTTCCTTGCAGTCCTTCTTGATGAAGACTTTTGGCACCAGCCATCTCAGGTTCAAACCAAGGCCATTCCTGATAGGGCTCTTGTCCAGTATCCAGCTCTCAGATCCAAACCAAGGATAAGGCTACCTGATAGGACTCTTGACCTCTTGTCCAGTAGTAGCTTTTGGACTACAGCCTGCATGAAGTTATGCGCTTGTGTCTTGAAAGTGCATGAGAACTTGCAGTGCACTTACCTTCTTGTCTGCAAGCTGTTTTTTTATCGCGTTCTTGGCCATGTAACCAACATCAACCTTATTGAAGCAAGTCAAAACGCCTTTTTTCCACGACTTTCCATAACCTGAAATGGAATCCCGTGACTTTCCAGGCTTGGAATGGAAAATGAAAAATCAAATTCCATGGCCTTCCAGGTTTTCCATGACCGGTACGCACCCTGAATTGACGCGAAAGTTAAGACATATCTGCTGCGTGAGCTTAACTTGATAAACATGAACTACACGATGTTTTGAGTTGTAATCTGTATGATATTATGGAAGTTGTTATATTTATATTGATGAACGTTTCTAGCGTCACTAAACATAGCCATTGCCACGTCCATTTATTGCAATTGTTTATTAAAAATGAATTAAAAATTTTGTACAAATGCGTAAATTGAATAAAATTGAACAAATTTGGTACAGATGTGTAAATTGAATAAAATTGAATAAATTAAGTACAAATGTACGAATTGAACCAAAATACCCAAACTGAGTACNGGACAAAAGGACTAAGGACAAAAGGATTAAGGACAAAAGGACTAAGGACAAAAGGATTAAGGACAAAAGGACTAAGGACAAAAGGATTAAGGACAATTAAAATTCCGCTTGGGTTTTTTAGATCAAAATGAAGCTGGACAGCAAACGCACGCAGTTTACATGAAACTTACGCTATCTGCACCGAACTTGTCATGAGACATACGCAGTAAAGTTTAATATCGCGCAATGCACGTACAACGTGGATATAATAATTGTTCTGTGTGTTAATTCTGTATGTCAATAATTGTTCTGTTATAATGCAGCCACGCGCAGCTACACGAAATCTTGAACAAAAAGCCTCTGGTGTTTGAAAAAAATTGCTACGTTTTTTCCAACAAAGTCAAGGTCGAGGGTCAGGGGTCAGAGACGAGGGTCAGGGTCGGGGGTCAAGGTCCCAAAATTCAAGGCTCTTCCCTAGTTTAAAGGATTGCTTTGCCGATTACCGGAATAATTGATCGACAGATGTAACTATTAATTTTATTATTTATTTATGAATTCCACTAACCGTTTCATTATTATGGGCTCCCAGCCCATTCATGGGCTCCCAAAGAAGAGAGCTCCCAGCCCATTCATGGGCTCCCAAAGAAGAGAGCTCCCAGCCCATTCATGGGCTCCCAAAGAAGAGAGCTCCCAGCCCATTCATGGGCTCCCAAAGAAGAGAGCTCCCAGCCCATTCATGGGCTCCCAAAGAAGAGAGCTCCCAGCCCATTCATGGGCTCCCAAAGAAGAGAGCTCCCAGCCCATTCATGGGCTCCCAAAGAAGAGAGCTCCCAGCCCATTCATGGGCTCCCAAAGAAGAGAGCTCCCAGCCCATTCATGGGCTCCCAAAGAAGAGAGCTCCCAGCCCATTCATGGGCTCCCAAAGAAGAGAGCTCCCAGCCCATTCATGGGCTCCCAAAGAAGAGAGCTCCCAGCCCATTCATGGGCTCCCAAAGAAGAGAGCTCCCAGCCCATTCATGGGCTCCCAAAGAAGAGAGCTCCCAGCCCATTCATGGGCTCCCAAAGAAGAGAGCTCCCAGCCCATTCATGGGCTCCCAAAGAAGAGAGCTCCCAGCCCATTCATGGGCTCCCAAAGAAGAGAGCTCCCAGCCCATTCATGGGCTCCCAAAGAAGAGAGCTCCCAGCCCATTCATGGGCTCCCAAAGAAGAGAGCTCCCAGCCCATTCATGGGCTCCCAAAGAAGAGAGCTCCCAGCCCATTCATGGGCTCCCAAAGAAGAGAGCTCCCAGCCCATTCATGGGCTCCCAAAGAAGAGAGCTCCCAGCCCATTCATGGGCTCCCAAAGAAGAGAGCTCCCAGCCCATTCATGGGCTCCCAAAGAAGAGAGCTCCCAGCCCATTCATGGGCTCCCAAAGAAGAGAGCTCCCAGCCCATTCATGGGCTCCCAAAGAAGAGAGCTCCCAGCCCATTCATGGGCTCCCAAAGAAGAGAGCTCCCAGCCCATTCATGGGCTCCCAAAGAAGAGAGCTCCCAGCCCATTCATGGGCTCCCAAAGAAGAGAGCTCCCAGCCCATTCATGGGCTCCCAAAGAAGAGAGCTCCCAGCCCATTCATGGGCTCCCAAAGAAGAGAGCTCCCAGCCCATTCATGGGCTCCCAAAGAAGAGAGCTCCCAGCCCATTCATGGGCTCCCAAAGAAGAGAGCTCCCAGCCCATTCATGGGCTCCCAAAGAAGAGAGCTCCCAGCCCATTCATGGGCTCCCAAAGAAGAGAGCTCCCAGCCCATTCATGGGCTCCCAAAGAAGAGAGCTCCCAGCCCATTTCCTAGTTTAAGTCCTTACAACTTAAAATTTAGTCATCCTAAGAATCCAAACTTAAATTTACAAAATTTAATTTTTCTTACAGCTTCAAATTTCTATAATACAATGGATTTATCTTTACCTCATATTTACAATTAAGTCCATTCCTGGTCTTCAGCTCGAATGTTTCCATACATAGATTTGATGTTTCCGTAAATTCCGTAAATTTGGTACATAATTAATTCCGTACATAATTCCATAAATTCCGTACAAAAATTTAATGTTTCCGTACATTGCTACGTACAATAATGTTCTGCACGGAACCTTGAGCCTTTTTATTTTTATATTCACTAAGAATTTCGAGGTTTGGTTCACAGAGAGCGCACTCATTCATTACATATTCATTTATACTATTCATTCATTGCTACACAGATCCAGCATTCGGAATGTTTAGATTGGGATAAATTT